TGCTGACCTAAGGCCCAGGACCCATCAGTGTTGAAGCATCTCCCCAAATCCATGGTGTTGACTTTGACCATGATGAAAATATTGGCCACCTATATGTAAGAGACTGCCAATGGACAGCCCATTCCAAACAACCGGAGCACTCTGCTTTGGACATACATGTGTTGTCATCTGGCTAACAGGCCTGCCTCCCCTCCAAGCCATCGCTGTCATGTCATTGAGACTGTTATCACTGATAAGTGGTTAGAGGAACACCTGTCTCATCAAAAAAAGAAAAAAATGCTAATGGGAGAAGCATGAAAAGTAGAGACAAAACCTCTCCAAGCAAATTCTCTTCTCAAGAAATTATACTTGTTATGCTGTATGAGATTTGTCTTTAAAACATATGTGTAGTCAAAAGGGCTGTGTTCCAAAAGGGCTGGGTTCATTCTGAGGCTGAAAATTTAGCCATGGCTTCATCTTCACAAAATCTTAGGGAAATCGCTCACAGTAAGCATGCAGAAAGGAAACAGTATCTTTTTGCTAAAAAGGGGCTGAAACAAAAGGTCTTTATTTTATGAGTTTGGGATAGTCCATTTCATTTTATAAAGAAGCCCTAGGTTTTGTTTTCAGTTAGTGGTACATGTTGATAGGTGTACCTGGGGAGCCATTCTCCCGGAGGACCCTCTGTACTTTTCATACACTCCATAAATATGAAGTCATTACAATGGTCCCCTTGAGGGAGAGATGGGATCGTGGATTCAGAGGGCAGGTAATTGGATGCCTAGGCAGAAAGGTAGAAGGCAACAGGGCAAGTTGCCAGAAAATAATGGGAAACAAGATAGGGACTTGTTTACTGGAACTGGGGTATAATCAGGGGCCTGGGCTTCAGAAACAAGGTGAACCCAGTTTCTAGTACAAAGGTATCTGTTCAGAATTGGACAGGCCACAAGCTGATTTGGTGCTGAGCCACCCAGCTCCCTGCAGATGGTTTCTTAACTTCTCGAAGACTAGCAAGATGACTGGCCTGGCTGATATGTCCTTTCCCTGGAATGCCCTTCCTACCTTTGTTACCTGGTGAACTCATGCATTCTTTAAGACTCAGCTCAATTGTCCGAGGGGACATAGTGTCCTGTGACAGACACTTAGTCCTATGGGTTTCAATTTGGCAGCCTTCTCCCTCTCGATTCATAAGCTGAGTTCACTGCATCCTTCCCTTGGGCTCAATGCATTGTGCACATGGTGTATTTCATTGTCATTGTAAGAAAGCACGATAGCATATTATTTTGGAATATGAACTTTGAATCCTGACAGGCGCTAGTTTAAGTCATGGCTCCACCACCTCCCACCTGCATGTCTTGGGAAAGATGCTCTATGTCTCATCTGTAAAATGGGTTTATAATCTGCTACCTACAGTATCTGGTTGTACTGAAGATTAAAGGAAATGATGCGTGTAGTCCTTTGTCTTGTTGAGCACGTAGAAGCCCTCTATTGATTTGGATTCTTTGGTTGCCAGCAATAGGAAGCAATGGTGGCCGACTAATAGAATTGAAGGAAAACTGAGCCAACAAGGCCTCAGAAAAGATAGGAACCCAGGCTTCTGCAGGGATGTAGAGAGCAGAAACCAATGGACAGTTTCATCAGGGTATTGCTTGCAGAATACTGGGCTCCAGCCATCTTTGATATTTAGGTCATTCTAATTATATTTATGTTCCAGGATTAAGGAATCTGACTGGCTGTGCGCACACCTTGGGGAGGGGGCTCTAGCTGAGTAGAAGGACGGTGCTCAGCAATTTTACACCCGGCCAGGAGCCCCTAAGGCTTTGGGCATATGTGACTCCTACTGTAGACTACTGCAGCTTTATTTGTTTACACACAAACCAAATAAAAGAAGTTTTGGAGACAAAGGGAAAATTTGAATGAGGGCTGGATTTTAAATATTAAGGAGTTAGTATGAACTTTGTAGTGTGAAAATTCACTGAGGTTATGCTTTTAATACAGTCCTGTGCTAGAGATGGATATTGAAGTAATTAAAAATGAAAGGGAAAAAGAATCACCAAATCTTCGTGGAGGAAACAGACCCTGAGATCCACTAGTCTGGCCTGGGACTTTTATAGGGCAGGGAAATTACTTCCTCGGGGAAAACCTTCCCATTCTGAGGCTACTCCTTCAACTTTTAAAAAGGTATTTCACAGGTACATTCCAAATCTTATCACCTTATTCTATATTTTTTTTGTCCACTGTTTCTGGTTCTCTTATTTGAAGCGATGGAGAATAAAGGTGCTTGTGTATATATATGTTCACATAGGGAATATTACACGCGTCTTATTTCTCTGCCTATTTTTAACGTGGTTGAGCTGCTTAGTTTCCCCACAAACGCTGGCTCAGTGAACGAGCACAGGCAGCCAGGCGGAGTTCTGCTTAAGAGCATTGTCTGTAGAGTCAAACAGACCTAAATCAAGACCTAGCTCCACCATGTAGGTGAATCTCTGGAACTCAATTTCTGCATCTGTGAAATGGGGTAATGATAGGTATCCCACCCTGGGTTGTTGCGAGAATTAAATGAAACAGCACATGGAAAGCACTTAGCACATGGCCCTGCACAGAGGTAAGATCACAGGAAACATTAGCTGAGATACTGCAGCTGCTGCCCTTTCAGACTGCCCACTGGAAACCTCTTGTGTTTTCTTAGTTGAAAGGGATAAAAGTACATGCAAAAGCAAAGAAAGCAGGAAACCACCACCACCTAGCTGAACTGTGAAGTCCCTCAGGATGCAAGGAACTTAGTAACACAGGTCATCCCAAACCTACAGCAGCAGCCGCTTGCAGATCTCCTGTGCGTGTCCACCATTGCAGCGACGCATTCCTCTCTGCTTCTGCCCCATCAGCTCCTGCTGTTGACTCTTGTCTTTCTTTCCCTGATTCATGGCTTCTGCTTAGTGCCTCTCTTTGCCTCCACTGTTTCCCTCTTGACCTGTCTTTCTCAGACATCATACATGATTGGTCTGTCCATTCCTTATCCCACATAAGGAGCCTCTGTCTGGCTGAACTCTCTTCTTTCCAGCCTACCTCATAGGCTGCTCAACAGACAGCTTACCTGGATGCCTTTGAGTCAGGTGACTATCCTTGGTCTGTCCAGCAGTGGCCAGAGTAGGAGAAGCTAAACTGACGGGAGAATACCCAGATTAGAACAAATTCTATCTTGGCGAAAGCCACACTACAAATGCTTACCACATTACCCAAAAGAGATGCTCTTTACCTGTAGGATTTCCCCCACCTGAATTTCTTTTTATCCTTCAGAGTCCTGTTTTTTCCTAGCCTTCAGATACAGTTCAAATCTCATCATGTCTTTTAAGCCTTTTTAACGTAATGCAAGTTTTGCTGAGCCATAGTAGTTAGAATTTTCTGACTTCCTGTCACGTGACAGGCACTGTACTGAGTGTTCCCTCTATATCTCATTTAAATTACCCTACTAGGTAAGCATCATTATCCCCCCTAAGGATCTGAGACTCAAAGCTGATGTCATTCTGCCAAACCACATTGGATTAAATTCCAGAAAATGATTTTTATCAATAATTGTTAAAATTTATTGTTTCACATATATTAATTAAATCCTTCCCCAAACCCTGTGAAGTTAAGTGCAATCATGATACCCATTTTAGAAAAGACACAAAGAAGCTAACTAACTTGCCCAAGGCCACACATGGAGGTGGTACTCTGTTTTAGGTCTTTCTGATTCCAAAGCCTATTCATCCCCCCAGCCCCTCCTTTCCCTCCCTGCTTTAATCCTTAACTTTCTCTTCTCACAATCCTAACACTCATCAATCTTCGCTAATCTCATAAATGAGATAAACCCTTATAATTGAAAATATAAAGGATTTATTCTCTTTCTGGAACTTCCCTTGATGATTCAACATTGGAGGTGGAATTTTTCAAATGATTTTACCATCTCAGTGATAAAATCTTTCATGGCCTTTTTCAGTTTTAGTTATTAATTAAATGTTTTGTCGTTGTTGAAGAGTGGTGCGGGGAGAGCAGATGCCAAGGCCTATCATATTTCTGCGGAGCTAAGGACAAGCTCACTGTGCCACTTCAGCTGCGGTTTGTCTTCACTCTCACCAGCATGAGAGTCAGTCTTTTCCAGGACCCAAGCTGTGAGCTGTCTTGGGGCATTACGTGTCTTCATGCATTATTTGTTAAGCAGGGCTCCAACACTTCAGAAAAACTCTGGGCGTTATCTGGCCCTTTTCCCCACTACAGAGCACCGGTCAGCTTCATCGTTTAGGATTACGACACAGAATCTGTAATGGACTCCCCTCCCCTCCTCACATGGAGCTATCAGAGCTCTCCTTAAGAGAGGGACCTGCAACCTGTGGCCTCACTAGCTGAAGGAGCAAAGTCCAGGAAACGGGTTGGGGAGAGTGGGGCCCAGAACGCTCTGATTTGCATGAGAAAAGACCAAGATTATGTACTACTTGGAGTTTGGCTTCCAGCCAACGGAAAGCCCAGAGCCTTGGAAGGATAAGAGGGAAGGAGGAGGGTGTTATTGAAATTCTCCTGGTGAATGGGGGCCCACCGGGGCCCACCCCTTGTCTGAAAAACACTGGGCCGCCAGCAGGCCTCAAGGTTCAGTTGTAGAGTGCTTACTCAGCCAGCTCCAGCTTCCAGCCCTCAGCGCTCACCTGGGCTTTGTTTGGAAGCTGTCTGAGGTATTGTGGGCTCCCAGACCCAGACATGTCAAAAAATGGGCAACACAGCTGAAGCTGGGTTTGCAGTTGGATGCTATTTTGGGTTTCACTTTAATTCACCTTCCAACACACAAAATAACCTAAGAGGTTTTATCTACATATATGCGAACATTCACTTACATACATACATGTTGCAGATTTCTTTGAAAGGGGTGGGTGAGAAGCACAGCCATCTCCTAGTTTCTCAAAATTCTTTCTCTGCTTTTGGGGAAACTAAGTCATGCTGAGGGAGGGAAAGAGATCTAAAGAAACAAATTTCTGTTAACTGTTTTTCAGGTTTTACATTGAGAGCATATCATTTTTAAAAGATAAAACCACCGTGGAGCTGTTTTTCCTGAATGCAAAGTCGTGTGTGCAAAAGGTAAGGAGCCCCGTCAGTTACGTTCAGGGAATGACTCCAGTGGACTGGAGATACAGGGAGAAACAGTGCTGCCTGTGTTTCCATGTTCAAATGAAAAAAGAAAAAAAAGCCATAATTTTTTCCACTGATATTTCCTACCCCCCTACCCCCCCCCCCAAAATGGCAGCTCATCTCAGATTCTGAGTGGGAAGACAGCCATGTGCAAAGGAATCACACACACAGTCATCACCGCCTTAAAGGCAGCTAAGTACTCCACCCAGAACTGCGTAAAGAGGGATCAGCCAGATTGCTGTTGCAGCCTCCAAAGGTCAGACCAGAAACCTTGTTTAACAGAGCACGCCCCACATTTACCACACTTCAGAAGCAGGATTATTGAGGAGCCTCTGCTCACAGCTGTGCTTTAGAGCAGGCTTTCAGTTACCTGCAGTGAAGGATCTTTTTTCTGTAATTTTTTTATATGTGTCCAATCCATCGAGGACAGGTTGCTTTTGTAAAATTCAGTAAACGCAAATTGCTAGAAAACTGGTCCCGTGCTTGGCTGTTGCAGTCATGTCTAATTGCTATAAACATTTTAAACACTCCCAGTTCTTGTCTTATCTCCTTGCAGACCAGCATTGCTTCAAAGGCCTCCACTCTGCCCTCCTCAAACCACACCCTCCGCTGGGGTGGGAGTCCCTGGGGCAAGATACCCCACCTGGAGCGGAGCTCTCCCTTCTAAGTTACGACCTCAGCTCTCAGGATCTCGGCCCCTGGCCTGTTTTCAGCCCCTCCTGCCTACACATAGCACCCTAAACCTGAGGTAACCAGGGACAGCTGGATGGTGCCTGGCCTGGAGAGACAAGTGGGGCAGGCTGAGGGTTAAGGCACCTACCTACATTTGTACTCTTCCCCTAGGCTCCCAAAATGTTAAAAGGGGGGAGGGGGGCTGTGCACACACACAGCTTTAATTTGTGTAAGACTCAGCAAAAGCAGAGTTTTGTTTGTTTTTTAAATAACTTTATTGAGATACAATTGACTACATATTAAGATATAGAATCTTTAAAGTTTTGACATATGTAATACCCATGAAACAATTACCACAATGAAGAGAGTAAATATACCCAGCCACTACAGATCTGTTTTTTCTTTCTTTTTCTTTTATATATATGTGTGTGTGTGTGTGTGTGTGTGTGTGTGTGTGTGTGTGTGTGTGT